TAATTTCTTCATTTTGTAAGATTTTAATAATAGCGGAAGCTAGGTGAGGGGTATATGGGAACTTTTTGTACTGTCTTTGTGACTTTTCCATAAACTGAAAGACATTTCAAAATCTAACAGTTAAAAAGAAATCCATGCCAGCAACATGTTTTCTTGTCAGACATCTGTTATTGGAGGTAGAAATAATACAGGAATGTATTTCAGGGATTCTAGGACTGTGCTGATAGAACCCCCTCAGGGGAGAGGAAGAAAAGGCTGGAAATAGATGGCTAAGATTAGAGAAACAGTACCACTCTCATTTGCCTTCCATACTCCTGGTCGTGCTAATGCATCAAGTTGTCCTGGGATATAGGCAAGGGGAAAATATTCCTGTATGTTATGAATGGAGAATTCATAGCACAGAACAGCTCAGTGACAAATGATGTTCATTAAATTTATTTTACTTGTCCAAGTTCACTGAGCAGATGCAGAAATGAAATATAAACTAATTTCCAGGTATATGGTGGCTGAACAAGAAAGTTCAGCTCATTTACAATATTTTAAATATATATATTTTGGGCCGGGAGCGGTGGCTTATGCCTGTAATCCCAGCAATTTGGGAGGCTGAGGTGGGCAGATCACAAGGTCAGGAGTTCAAGACCAGACTGGCCAACATGGTGAAACCCCGTCTCTACTAAAAAATACAAAAATTAGCTGGGTATGGTGGCTTGTGCCTGTAATCCCAGCTACTATATATATTTACTATATATAGTATATATACTATACTGCATGAAACTTCCTGTCCATAGCTATAGTATATACTATAGTATATAGTGTATGTCCACGTGGATCTGTATACTATACTGTATACTATAGTATATAGCATATAGATCCACATGGATCTGTCTGTAGGGCCACTTGAGTATCCTCATGACATGGCAGCTGATTTCCTTCAGAGCAATTCATCCAAGGAGAGAGTGCAAAGAGGGAGCTGCAATGCTCCTTATCATCTAGTCTTGGATGTTACACACTGTTCCTGCTGTCTCATTCTATTTGTTAGAAGCAAGTCACTAAGTAAAGCTCACACTTAAGGGGTGGAGTTGGGGGTTAAATTAATCTACATCTCTTGAAGCAAAGAGTACTGAGAACTGGTGAATATATGTTAATCACCACACCAGGTGTTCTAGCCTCAGATGTGTCTGAGAATTTTATTTTCCTCTTTAGGCTTTCTCTTGGCATCTACATTTACTTCTGCAGTTTCATATGGCTCAAAATGAAACCTGATTCTTTTTTTTCTTCTAGAAGACTTCCCTCATCTTTCTTCTAAATTCTCAAGCCCCATGAAAAGTCACAGAATGTTGAGTATAGAAAAGGGAACTTGAAATGATCCCAGCATTACAGGATCTGGATAGAGTCATCTGCCTCTTTTGTTCCTGCTGCATTACTAAAATTTGACATCTCTGATTCTTCTCAAGCAAAGGTTGCTGCAATCTTTTGAGCAGCTTCTCCATGGTGCTGTCACAAATCTAATATTGAAATCACGCTTAGTCTTCACTGACTTATACCACATAATCTTCTTCTCAAAGCCTAACTTCACTTGATTCTCTGTGACTCTTATTTTACATTTAAATTATTTGGCATTCAGGGTTCTAGTTGTCAGCCAGTCCTTTTACTTATTTACTTCTATGCTTTCAGACTTCACCTCTCATTCTCCATTGGCTTTCTTACATTCCCTTGTTCATGTGGCAAACTCAATATGCCTAAAACCAAATTCAGCCTTTCTCTCCAAAGTGGCTTCCCTTTTGCCCTTGCATATAGCCAGTGGGAAGAGGTTTTGTCTCCACTCTCTGAGGTCCCATTGAATCTACCTGTCTTCCTAAATTCTACCAAATCACTGCCCTCCTCATATTAAAGCCCCACAGAAAATAGAATCTTTTGGAAAGACGAAAAATGTGACTCTACTGATATAGAAATAGAAGTGACACTCCTGCCACAACACGTAAGAAAAGATGTTGAGTCATACTCCAATTCTATTCAGAAATCAGACTCCCTGAGGACAGAGCTTTTATATTACTTTTGTTCCATGTCATGTTCATATGTCAAAGTGACACCCTGGCCTAACACATAAGAAAAGATGCTGAGTCATACTCCAATTCTATTCATAAATTGGACTCCCTGAGGACAGAGATTTTATATTTGTTGTGTGTCATGTTCATATCTCAAAGGCATCTCATGTTCACCAGTAAATAAAAAGCTAGGCAAATGTCTGAATATGTTTGGTGCTCTGCCAGAAGGTGACATATAATGGTAGGGATGGAAAGAGTCATTATAGTTAATTAGTTGAAATGACATAGAAATTATCGAATTAGCTTTTTAAAGCATCTTTGATCCCAGAAAATATTAGATATCAGACTTCAACATACCTTTACTCCTAAAATGCCATTAGAAGACTCTGTAGTGCTGTGGAACACATAATGCTAACACCAGCTATGAGAAATCAATACCTATCAGCATCCCCTTAACTTACACTGGAAGAAGCACTAGTCACCCAATTAGATTTAAGGAGTGAGGCTGACTCAGCACACAGGGGTGTCTAAAGAAATAAAGGGAAACAACATCCAGAGTCCTCTTTGTGAACCAAAAATATGCCCTCTAGACCAAACTTCTTAGCAAGAATACTAGATCCATCACAATCTCACCCAAACCTGCTTATAGCTGCATTTCATGTTGTTCTTTTTCCATGCCTAGCTTCCAATGTGGGTAACCCTCTGGATTTACAGATGTCTCTTTACTCAATGCCATGCTCTTTCCTTTATGCCTTGATCCTAGGCACATACAATTTTCTTCATTCGAAAGGCACTACCAACACTTACTTTAAAATCAGATAATATGTTTTCTGGAGAAAAAGCAGTTGCTTCACTCCAGAGAGGGTATGTGGTCTAAAGAGCTGTGAGAATACATATCTTCATGCTATTTTTCTCTGCCTCTTGCTCAGTGCCTGGCAACCGGTAGACGTTTGATAAATTTCTTTCAAGTGAATAGAGGAGATGCTAATTCACTCATATGAGTGCTTGCCTGTTGATCTGAGGTCAATCACTTTTCTGCCCTTATTGGGCTTTTCCAAAGTAAGCCTTGCCCCCACAATCTAATAATAATAATAGCTAATATTAATTGAGGACTTAGTATGTGCCAAATACAATGCAGTCTTAACATGAATCATTTCATCTAACTTCACAAGTTATCCTGCTTTACAGATGAGGAGCCTGAAGCTTAAGACACTAAGTAACTTGCTGCGGTTATAAATGAGGGAGCCAGGATTGAAGCAGAGCCTGTGTACTGCATCATTAAGCTATACTGCTAATCAACACCACCGGGCTCATGGCTATTGGCTCGTTACTGGTGATACTGATCTCCGCTGAGAAGCTCTTCCGCCTCTAGCCGTGCAGCATCAGTCTCCCTACTGCTGGCAGAGAGGAGTGCTGAGCCTTTCTTTTTTTGTTTGGTTGTTTGTTTGTTGCAGAAAGGTGATTTTATTTAGGTAGAGAAAAGAGAAGGAAAAGGAGAAGAGAAAGGAGCATTTCATATTTATGTAGGAAGCATGGCAGCAGCCTTAGTATTGGAACCTGCCGCTGGAAATGTCCACAACACACTTGGCAGGCTTTCTTGGTGGGCCCTGGCATGGTAAGTGCAAGTTTTGTTATTCCTTATGGGTTCCGAAAAACAAGACCTTACCTGTTAGTGACTGGCTTCACATCATGTACCTGGAGGAGCTGGCTTCACATAAGTCATAAAGATGCACTCTAATAATGTATTTAGAAGTTGTTGGCTAAAGTTCTAAGCCTGATTCTAATAGTACTTCCTCAATGAAGCTTTTTTTTAGCACTCCTTCAACTATATCTATTTTTTTATCACCCACTCAATTCCTCAGTATTGTATCTATCACTGTTTTATAGTTCTTTACTTTCCACACAGGGCTTAAGAGGATATTTTGCTATAAAACATGGCAAGCATTCTATTAAAAATGCAAATAGCTGCATCAAAATGCCAATTCATAAAATTTTTAGATCAGATAAGAAAAGAGCGATTTTTCTGGAAAAGACCATTGATCTTTTTTTTTTTTTTTTTTGAGATGGAGTTTCGCTCTTGTTACCCAGGCTGGAGTGCAATGGCGCGATCTCGGCTCACCGCAACCTCCACCTCCTGGGTTCAGGCAATTCTCCGGCCTCAGCCTCCTGAGTAGCTGGGATTACAGGCACGCGCCACCATGCCCAGCTAATTTTTTGTATTTTTAGTAGAGACGGGGTTTCACCATATTGACCAGGACGGTATCGATCTCTTGACCTTGTGATCCACCCGCCTCGGCCTCCCAAAGTGCTGGGATTACAGGCTTGAGCCACCGTGCCCGGCTGACCATTGATCTTTGAGAGTTAAGAATACAGCTGTTTCCCAATTTAATTTCTCACTGGTAAATGGAACAGGAATGGTTTGGCAGTTCTACAGGAAAGAGCACGTGTGCCTTGTGCTTCTGGTTTTTCCAGATGTCCGTTGCTGAAGGTTTAAGGTGTGAGTCTGTTCATGTGTTTCTAAGGAGCAGTCCCTGTTCAAAAAGGCAGTGGGAAAACTGAGTGGGGCAACTCACACATGGACGCCCTGTGCATCAATGTGCGTTCAATTCAAAGACAGACCTCATTTGGTAGCAATCTTAGTATGTCATTCTAATGAATTAGAAAAAATGAGAAAATGGGATATGAATCCCCATCTGGATTCATGGGGATAATATCAGAAAGATTTCCAGTGCCTTTGCAGAGTGCTAGCAACATTTAGTTAATACCTCCCTGGGTGCTATGTGCTTACATGAGAAGCCAAAGGTATCTGTTAAGCCACGTAGGAACTGCAATCGGCTGGTTGATTCTCATTTGGAGAAAGCAAGCAAGTGGGCAGTGATTGGAGTGTCCAGCAGGGGGCTGGCATTCTCTGTCTATAAGTAACCCTGTTTCCTCTTCAGAGCCGCGGCTCAACGGAGCTGCTGTTTGCTGGTGAAGCCTGTGACGTGCAAAGCACCCTGCCTATAGGATTTGAGGATTTCTCAGTGCAGTTTTTTCATACCCACTTTAAACCTTCAGATTCTAAATATCAGGAAAGACAGCAAATGCTGTGTGAAAATAGCAGGCCAACTCAGACTAGAATGGGGGTAGAAAGAGCTGATGCAGAGTGGGTTTAATTCTAAGGTTTTTTGTTGCTAAGTTTTTGTTGTGGTTAACTTATTGAATTTAGAGTTGTACTGCACTAGTCAAGTGAGGGCCAGAGCAGCACCAGTGTCAAAATAGTGACAGACAGTTTTGAATATATACTTAGTATATATGTACTCAGAGTATTTTTATTAAAGAAGACAAAGAGCCCAGCATAGATCTCATCTTCATCTTCACCTGGTTGCAAAATCAATAGTTAAGAAATAGCATCTAAGGGAACTTTTAGGTGGGGAAAAAAATCTAGAGATGGCTCTAAATGACTGTTTCCTTCTAAACTTGGAAGTGGACCATTTCATGCATTGCAACATCTCCAATCACAGTGCGGATCTCCCCGTGAACGACGACTGGTCCCAGCCGGGGATCCTCTATGTCATCCCTGCAGTTTATGGGGTTATCATTCTGATAGGCCTCGTTGGCAACATCACTTTGATCAAGATCTTCCTTACAGTCAAGTCCATGCGAAATGTTCCAAACCTGTTCATTTCCAGTCTGGCTTTGGGAGACCTGCTCCTCCTGGTAACGTGTGCTCCAGTGGATGCCAGCAGGTACCTGGCTGACAGATGGCTATTTGGCAGGATTGGCTGCAAACTGATCCCCTTTATACAGCTTACCTCTGTTGGGGTGTCTGTCTTCACACTCACAGCGCTCTCAGCAGACAGGTAAGTACTGGCTGAAAGTTACATGCTCTCCAAGGGTGGTAGATGCCTCGGTAAATGAACTACCATGTCGGGACAGGGAGCTGTTTGCACAAGGGGAAAGTTTTACTCAAACTCGGATTCCTATCCAGGCAGGTTTTGTTCTGGGGATGACTTCTTGAGTAGAACATTGGTTTGAGAAAGAGAAGTGAGAGAATAATGGGGACAGAAGGAGAGAAATGAAAAAAAAATCTCTAAGCAGAAAACTGAGGTGGCTTTTCTGGAAACATATCTATTTAGCATTACCTTTTCCTAACTTCTCCCTTCTTGCAAAATTAATTGACCAGTGAGAAAGACAACCATACCCAATAGAGTTTAAACCTCAGGCAAATATTTTTTAGAAGCAATTCAAAACCTTCAGAGAACAGGAAAGTTCCACTGCATTTCTTCAAAACATTCTTTCAGAAACAACCAAGAGGAGAAAATGAGCCTCATTTCTCTGAAATTCATTTTTCTCAGACAGTTTAACTTTTCCCACAGCTGATTTTGTATTTGACTCTCTGTGACAGAACAATCGTTTGCCGGTTTTTCTAAGTCTCTCTTAAATGAAATCAAGCATTATTTGAGTTTTTAAACTTTTCTGGAGAAAGCTCTATTCAAGGTTGACTTCTAATTTTAATATCTTTATTGACATACTTCCATATACCATGTTTCTGGGACTTATTGTGGGGAGGAAGAGGGAGTTCACTACAGTTTTTTATTCTGTGAAATATACATATTTGCAAACTGCATTTCCTCTGTGAGCACATTGCATAAAAGCTTACATTTATCACTCTTAAAACTTCATATTCGTTCTTTGAATATTTATCAAGTGTCTAGCATGTAAAAAGCACTTGCCTGAATTAACAAGTCAAGAAATAGCTGCAGGTTGTTCACACAAATTACTGAACATACTTTATGTACTTCTGTTCTCTGGAAATTGGACATAGTAATGAATAGACTTTCAGACACAGCATAGACCATACGGTGAAACAAACAACCCAGAAAAACTGCTGCAATAAACCTGATTATAAGTGATTATATTCACTTATAATAAAGTGTATGTTATGTGTTAAAGATAAAGAAGGATTTGAGAGTGTTCCGGAAAAGACATAGACGCAGCTCTTGAAAGTTTATACTCTGAAGAAAATGTCCCGCATTTTAATACATGTGGTGCTGGATTCTCATTTTATAGAGGAACAAACAGTTCTCAGATGATCTGGCTTTGTTAAGTAATGGGCAAATAAAGATAGTGTTATTGGTATTTGTAGACATATGTTTATGCTTAGCTACCTGAAGCACACTGCCCGGCACACAACATTTTCAAAGACTGAAAAGTAATGGTCCAGAAGCAAGGTTTGCACATTGTACCGACTTGACAGAGTTTCTCCATTCCCTCCATTCCCCTTTGGCTTGCTCCTACCCTGCACATCTGCTGACCAGATACCAATGACCACAGACAATTTCATGTGTTGATTCAGGGCTGGCAAACTCTGGAGCTGGCAGAAGGGCTGTGGCTTGTTACCAATGGCCGAGGGCACTTCAGGATGAGGGTAATTTTCTTAATGGGAAGGAGAAATTTTGGTTTCCGGGTTCGGGAGTGCAGTGGTACAGATGGTGTTTACTCTCTTCTTGGGGAGAAAAACAGAAAGGAAAGTGAGGGTATGGAACATAAAGAGGCAGCTGCAGGCAACTCTTCTCTGGAGTTTCAAAGCAGACCAAGTTCACCATCAGCAGAAAGGGAAAGCTCTTTCAAAAGCCAGGTTGCACTCCTTCACAGCTCCAGTGTGTTCCCAGTAAGTTTATAGTTACTGCCTGTCCTTGCCAAGTTCGGAAATTACTAGAAGCTCCCATATTGCTAACTTTTTGTGTTTTTCTAGGTCTTTAAAAAGCCGATGATCACCTGAATCACAGGTAGTGCATCTAACCAATTCCAATAGGAAGAATAGGTATTGAGGTAGTTAAATGATCAAGACTGTACTTTTCTATCCATCTCATTTTTTAAAGCAATGGGATTCTTATATCTTATATCTCATGAAGTTGGAAGGGGGAATAAAGATTCTATATTTTTTCTTCTCAACAAGGTGTAATCTATATACATGGAAACTGAACAAGTTTCATGAATATATTTTTACATATGTCTATAGAGCTGGATAACCAGATGGAGATGTAAAAGAGTTCCAGCATCCCCCAGTTTCTCTTATGCCCTGTCCTAGTTAATACCCCATACAGAGGCAATCACTATTCTGATTTCAGTCACCATAGGTTATTTTTGCCAGTTCTTTAATCTTATATAAATGGAATCATATAGTAAGAACTCCTTTGTGTCTATCTTCTTATGCTTATCATTATCTCTGTGATATTCACCCATGTTGATAGGTGTAACAGTGGTTTGTTCTTTTTAATTGTGTGTGGTGTTCCATTGTATGAATATACTTTGGTTTATTTATTCATGCGAACACTGATGGAAACTGGGTTGTTTTGTTTGGGGATGATGATAACCTGCTCTGGACATTCTTATTCATGTCTTTGGGGGAATGTAAGTGTTTATTTCTCTTGGGTATATGTCTGTCAGTAAAATTGCTGGGTCATAGGGGGCATATATTTAATAAATATTGTCGGTTTTCAAGGTGGTAGTCTGTATAGAGGTAGATTGATGAAAGAGTGAATGAACCAGAAGACCTTCCAAACCAGATGATCACCAGAATCACAGGGGAAGTTTAAAAACATACAGATGCCTAGGCCCTTTCCTAACTCTACTGAAGCCAGGGCTCTGAGTCATGAGTGGGGCACCTATTGATAATCATCCATCCCTGCCCCCATACGTTGCCCAGCATTGCCAGTCCTCATTCCAGCTTCCCTTCTGTAGTTCTCCCCTTCACTGAATTAACTTGAATCTTTGTCAATATGAAAAGAATATCAAGTTTCCAGAACAGTTTATACTGGCATCACCAGCTCAAAGGGAGACTTCAAGACAGTTTCAGAAACCAGAATTCTGGGGATTTGCACAGCTGAGCAATTCCAAGTTTACATTCAAGCACCGTCAATATTGATCCCCATCCTCCCTCTCCTCCAGTACTTTCTCTCCTTACACACACAATGATATCCTCATATACGGTGGTTGCACTGATGTGTTCCTGGCTCTGTTTCCTGTCTTATGCTGTGTCCCACCCACTCTCCAGAATGCTTTCTCCTTTCCTAAATACAAGATTGTATATCTCATTCCATGTGGAGTATGGGCTTGGAATGAGCATCGACAAACCTGTGTTTTAGACATTTTCCTGCCATTACTACCCATATGAGAAAGTGGGACTAAGTCACTTAACTCGCCGACCTTACTTTAATCATCTATAAAATGATGGAGTTAAACTAGGCAATTTCTATGGTCCCTTCAAGTTCTAAAATCCTAGGTTTTTTTTTGTTTGTTTGTTTTTTCTGTCTTCTTGCCTGCCATTCAGAATTTGACTCAGGTCTCCTCCTTAAAACCCTAAGTTGGGCCATTCTAGCCCAAATTTCCTGACCCTCTTGAAATATGAGACTTATTATCTGAGACATGAATTATCTTGTGACACCTTTTATGTTTCTGTTTTGTTTCTTTATTTTAGTCTTCATATATTTATTGCTTTACATTTTTAGGTAGATTATTAAGAATGTTGAGGGCAGAGGTTTTTAATATATTCTTAGATCTTCCATAGTGCCCCACAAGTTTTCTTGTGCCAAATGGGTGATCAATAAATATTGACTAATTAAAATTATGTTTAGTTAATGCATACTATTTTCCTCATTTTTATTCTTTATTCTACTTTTGAGGATTAACCTGAAAGCATACTCTTAAAAATAATGTATCAGCTGGGCATGGTAGCTCGCCTGTAATCCCAGCATTTTGAGAGGCTGAAGCGAGTGGATCATCTGAGGTCAGAAGTTCGAGACCAGCCTGGATAACATGGTGAAACCCCTGTCTCTACTAAAAATACAAAATTAGCCGAGCATGGTGGTGCATGCCTGTAATCCCAGCTACTTGGGAGGCTGAGGCAGGAGAATCACTTGAACCTGGGAGGCAAGTGAGCCAAGATTGTGCCACTGCACTCCAGCCTGGGTGACAAAGCATGACTCCATCTCAAAAAAAAAAATGTATCACATAGTCACCTGCTTATCTGTTCTCTATCAAGCTCTCATTATCTGGGTAGATAAGAGAAAAACTATTTTTTGTGAGTCAGTAAATAGATTCAGGGGATAAATAGATGGGTGGATGGATAGATAGATGGCTGACTGGCTGGTTGGGTGGGTTACATGTATGAGTGGACAGTAGGGTGAATAGGTGGGTGAACAGTTGGATAGATGGAGATTTTTTTGCATACGGTTCCTTGCTATTAGATGTCCACCTTTGTGCTAGATGCCTCATTACTATGTAAATGCAATTTGAGAGCTAAAATGGACCCTCAATAGAAAAAGGGTGAGGGTGGTTTGTGTTTTCTTTTCCAGTAAGTGTAAGATTTAAAGTTGAACTTAATGTTGACAACATGTGTAATGCCCAAGTTATATGAAGCCTGCTTCAGTACTATTATTCGTTGTTATTTCTTACTAGAATGGGGCTGGGAGAATGAATTCTAAAGACAGATGGCTATGGCGGTTCCACTGTAACATGATTCTTCTTTGATTCTGTGGAAAGACTGGTTATAAGTTTCTTTGTCATTTGGAATGTGGAAAGAAACAGGAAGGTGATATATTTCTGTAGACTTCTTGAAGTACAGATTCTTTGAATTTTCCGCAAGGAATGTATGTGATTGTAGCTTTCCCAACATCTAGAGCTGTATGATCTAACTTGGTAGCCACTAACCACATGTGGCTATTTAAATTTGCATTTAATTTAAGTGAAATGAAAAATTTCATTTCCTCCTCATACCAGCCACACATCAAGTGCTCAGTAGCCACATGTGGCTAGTGGCTACTCTATTGGACAGTACAGATAGAGAACATTTCAGTCA